TAGGAAAATAACAAACACTGGCTGAAGACAACCAATCTATCACTTTTAAATAAATATCACAAAAAAGAAATATGTTTATTCGGTAACAATTATTTTTTAGAGAAAATTTAGAACTATAAAGGATGGTTTGAATCAGTTGGGTTATTTATAGAGATAGCCAACAAACATGATTTGGGTAGTAGAAAAATGTATTTGGCTCATATTATTGGCATAAAATGTATAGATCCTTCTAAAACTGATGAAGTTGATGTCAAGTTAAATATAAAGAAATATTGTAATTTCTTGGATCAAACGTTTTCCGTGAGTGTTAAATACTGCGACCAACAACCTTTAAATTAAAAAGTATTTTCAGGTAAGACAATATATTTTCCCATTTTAAAATGCTTACTCTTTCCCACCCAGCTCCAAAAGGTTTCAGAGACACCAAATTAATGTAATGACCCTGAGTCACTTGAGATATTAATCCATTAGAAAATGTGTCATTCATCATTAAAAGAGATTTAAATGATTTCTGAGTAGCAATAAAATCCGCTGCAAGATATGTTAAAGTTGGCCTAAATGAAATTTAAGAAACATTAATCAAAGATTGCTGGTTATATTATACTACTATTCAAATACTAATTCATTCAGGTATGTTGGATATTATGTTAAATCAAATATTTCTTCTGTAGACTCTTTTTTGTTAATGTTAATATTCTATTTTGCAAAATTAAATCTGACCTTTCAAACGAAGTTATCTATATTTGTAATAAGTTTAGATATTATAAGTTGAAATTCACATGATATTCTCCTCGGATAACTGTCCGTATATCCAAAAATAATTTGCATGACCTGACTCAACATAAACGTTTATTTACAATTATTGGAGTTAGTTTAATCCAAAATTAATGCAGTGTTTTTTTTATCAGAAATTATTTCATATTACAAGAAATGTTATATTTAGAGGCAACACGTATTTAAGTAGACATCCTTTTTTAAAATTATGCTATTTGATATCTACTGGAAAAAAGACTGAAAGTCTTAACAAAAAAAAAATAAAGAAAAGAAAATGACAAGAGTCGAACCCGTATTCTCCTTATCTCCCACCACACCACTTTAAGCCGAGCGCTCTTTTTGCACTAAGCTTGGTTACAGCAAAGCGAGGCTCAATTATCTTACATATGAAATGCACATTTCTTGTCTGGATATTTTGAAGTCTATTTCTGTTCACTTTATTTTTGTACTCAAAATGTAAACGAAGTAATTTTTAGCAATTAATGAATTTTTTTAAAAATCTGACATCCCATATAAAAGAACCTCTTGCATTAATTTTATGATTTTTTTTTCAGCGATATTTCATTATTTTCGAAGATATACAAAAGGATGGTGAGAAGTTTCTGGTCCAATTCTGTTACTAAAATCTGACCCAACATCAGATATTAGATCCGACTTTAGGAAGAGAGTTGAACCTTTCAGCAAATTCTCTCTCTCTCTCTCTCTCTCTCTCTCTCTCTGTGTGTATGTGTATGTGTGTGTGTGTGTGTGTGTGATGAATTAATTGATTTTTAAATCCGACATTATGTCTTATTATACACGTATTTTAGTAGGCGTCACTTTTTCTCCTCAAAAGTCAAAATCTTAAAAGAAATGTGCATCCCGTTAGGAATCAAGCCTGTATTTTCTTTTTAATCTGGGAAACCACTTTCAAGGTAAGTGTGCTTGAACATTAAGCTACGATAATTCGTCACAGCAAAGCAAGACTCAATGACTCTTCATAGGAAGCGCACATCTCTCACTAGGAGATTCTGTAGTCTATATCTGCTAAAGTCATTTTGAAGTAATTAATCTATTTTTTATCTGAAATTATTTCTTATTACTACAAACATTTATTCTTATTCTTTTATTTAGTGGTTGAACGTACTTGATTAGACATCTCTGTTTTTTTTTCAAACAGTGGAATCTAATATCTACCATCTTTGAAATCGAACGATTTATTAAAGGAAATGAGTCTTAAAAACTGAATCGAAAATCTGTAGGAAAAACAAGCAATGTCCTAGTGCACATTAACACGTCATCAAACCACCCACCATTCATTTTAAAGCAGACATCGAAATCTCTATGCGACAAGCTGTCAGCTATTTCCAATTATGGAGGTGTTTGCAGCCATGTCAAGCTGGATTATGAAATGGCATTCAAGAAGAGGGGATACGTTGCAAATTTAGTATACAAGGGTGGTAGAAGCAGGATAAGTAAGTATTGAATAATTCATATTATTTAATCTAACCCCGCCATATCCGAAATTTATAACAAAAAATGATTTCTGGAATATGTTTTTTTTTAGTTAATTTCCTTTACCAGAAAACTGCACAAAATGTTCAATAGGAAAAACCTTTATATTAAATTATGGCTGCAGAGATATCGCAATCAGACGGATTCAAAAACATAATATCAAAGCACTATCTATCTATCTATCTATCTATCTATATATATATATATATATATATATATATATATATATATATATGTAATGTACTGTAAGCGACATTCTACAATCCAAAATGTTTCGTCTTTAAATAACCCACATAGGGTTGATAAGCCATAAAAATCAAAACAATAAAACCGCACAGACATGACGTGGCTTCCCTATCTTTTCTACAAATATTTTCATGGCAATTGTTCTGATGAGTTTTTTTTTTTTCTTGATGCCTTGGCTACATGAATTTAAGCGTGGTGCTAGTTTGGCAACTAGGTCTCACCATTTTACCAGACTGTTGTAACCGCTACTTCAACTTCAACAATTTATTTGCTCGCACTTTTCATCTGTGTAACTCCCTTCTGATTTCTTGCTTCTCTGATAAACACGATCTTCAAAAATTTAACTGCAACGTCAATTGTCACCTTTTTTTTTTTAATCCTGTTCGTTTATTGTCCTTTCCTCAGTCAACTTCCCTAAAGACTTATACTATTTCTCACACTGACATATTACAACACTAAACCTCTCTTGTAATCGCAGAAACAGAAACAGCGTCTTTCAGGAGGGGATGGGGTATATATTTAACTCCTGACATAGTTTACCATTTCCGAAAGCTGAAGATGAACCTGCGATGCCCAATATGATAACTACAAGACTTCTTTTCCAAGAGGGCATTATGCTAACAGTACAGCGCTTTACATTTGTCGGAGAAAATTAAGAGATAGGAACAAAGAAACATCCCAGGCGAAATGGCGGATGAAACTGTAAGTATATGTCTGTCAGAATAAATTAAAAAATGGATGCAAATCCACATATTTTGAAATTTCCCCAGCAAGACAAGCTGTTGAACAAAATGTTCTGACGGGTTGTAAAAATGTAAGCATTATACCGAATAGATCATATACGACCTGACCCCTTGCTATGAGTTAAGGTTCGGCTGTGATTTACTTAGGACTTTCTAAGAGTACATGTAAAAAGACATAGCATGTATGAACTCAAATAAAAATAGACGTCTTAAATATTATTTTATTCATCATAGGGTTTTATTACTTTAAACATTTTTTTAGTAAATATTCATATTTGAGTAGATGCTCCGCTTACTTATTAAACAGTATATTTACTTATTTTCCTGTTGGTAGACGAAAATATATAAATATATGGTGCGATGGATAAATTGTCTGAATTACACAAAAATTAAAATAACACTGACATTTCATTTTAAACTATATATTTACCAAAATTACCCAAAAATATCTTGAAATATTAAAGAGAAAATTTATTCAATACAATTGCCATTGGCTTAAACCACGTCCTCCAGATGACTTCGAAATTTCCTACATATCTTCTGGACCGTCTCTTTGTCTGTGATAATCCTTGCCTTCAGTTCATCTTTAGTGTTAGGAGTTTTGTTGGTCTCTCACTCAACTTCGCCCCACACATAATAAACAATGAGGTTGCAGTCTGGCGTGTTAGGTGGCCAGATGTAAGGGGTGATGTGATCTCGGAAATTGTCTGACAGCCATGACTGGGTCCTCCTGCTTGTGTGGCATGTTGTAGAGTCCTGTTGCCAAACATTGGGTCTTCCAGAAGCCATCCTCTTGACTCAGGGCAGCACTACCTCCTCAAGACACTTGATGTATGCCTCCGTGTTGAGTTTGAGGACTTATGGGGAAATGAATGGAGGCATAACATCGCCATGACTAGTGATCACTCCAAACAACCTGATATTGACTGGATATATCATCCAACTCTAACCGAAACCTCTGAATTTGTGTCTGTGTATCAATCTGAGGATTGACACCAAAACACACTGAAATGTTCGAATTTGGACTTCCGGCGCGAATGCCAAGCAGTACAACATACCGTTTACAAAATTGTGGCGTGAATTGGAGTGAATTGCGTCATGGTGATCTTTTTCTCACGGGCGGTGGCCCACTGACCCTACTATATTGTGCAGTCGACAAAATCAAAACAAATAACACGCATGCGCGAAGTTAAAAATATAAAATGGCGATAATTTACCTTTACTCTATACTGTTTAATTAATAAATGGAGCGTTTCCTCAAATATGAGTGTCCACTAAAAATTTTAAAAAAATAACGTTTAAAGTGAAAAAAATATGTCGACTTGATGGATAGAATCCGTGTCTTTAGAAAATTACTTACCAGAGTAATTTCGAATGAACAATGTAACAAAAATATTGATAAAATTATATTATGGTTCAAATATCCAGTTACCAGTAAACATTTGAAATTTTATATATTTTCAAAAATAAATCTTAGTAATTCCTAATGGTTACTCTAACCAAAAAAAAACAAAACAAAACAAAAAAAACAAATAAAAACTGTGACTGCATTATGCTAGATTTCAGCTAACAAACATCGCAGTTAATATGCTAAGTGTATACTTACCTAATAATACATAGTTAAAGCTGTCTTGTATAATATTTTACTAACTTAAACTCATTTTGTAAATGTTCAAATATAAATGTGAGCACTGGGTATGCAAAAGGTGCTGGATTAGTTTTCCATTCTCTGTAAAGGCGGATTACGGCCACATCACGTTGAAACACCGGTTCTCGTACGATCACCGAAGTTAAGCAACGTCAAGCCTGGTTAGGAGTTACCACTTCGGAATACCAGGTACTGTAAGCTTCAATGTGCAGGTGGTGTGATAGATAATTTCTTGGAATTTTTAATCGGAGGGCCGAGTTCCATTTCTCCTTGGGTTCCTTATATTCACTTACGTTCAAATGCCGTTAGAAAATGTATGAATCCAACTCTTTCCCCAAAATATGGGTTAATTAGGGGATTTTGTATCAGTAAACCATTATTATCTAAAAAAAAACGAATTCTTAGAATTTGAAAATATTCTCTAGCTTTAAATAAGTTGAAAATGATTGACAAGGTGTAGAAAATGTACTACTCAATCTGTAGTGAGCTTTTCTCGAACATACCATCACACAACGAACACCTGCCACTTTTCGTATTTTACCTATAAATACATCTGTTTCATTATTTCCTGATGGAAGAGTTGTTGACGTTTACGGAAATAGGGGTTTAGAATTTTATGAAATTATTTAATAAATGAATCATTGGGAAGATTGGTTACTTCTTTGAGAATAAAGATATAATTTTTTCTCTTTATACGCCGTGTCTCCTCACGACGTAGGCGATCATGGCTCTCCGCAATTTCCTGTCCTTTTATATCTCTTAATAAACTAAATACAGTTGCACTAATTACTCAAGCTCCCTAATTATGTTATGAATTACTTTCCCTGTCCTTACTGCCCTCAAAATATCCTGTGAGTATCAGATTTTCAAAATCATCTTTACTCATTATATGCTCCAGAAATTTCAACTGCTACTTCCTGAAGTTAACTATGTGTTCCTTTTTTTCATTTTCTCTAAAGCCTCGTCGTTCTTCACATAACCAGACAATGGCATCATCAGAATCCTTCTGTAGAACCACATTTCTGTTGCTTCAAGTTTCTTCTTCATCTTTGAGAAGACTGACTGCCATACAGGAGAACAGATAACATGTAACAGTTTAGTACTCGTTTCCTTGTTTCTAGCTATTTTTTTGTTTCTTTATAATTTGCTTAGATCTTGAAATGCATGAACTCTCAAGCGTGAGTGAAATCTCTGACGAAACTATTTAAGTCGACTAATAGAGAGTGGATCAGAAATACCTGCCACATATACCTCCTAGAAATACCTGCCACATATACCTCCCAGAAATATCTGCTACATATATCTCCCAGAAATACCTGTCACACAATGGTAAAACATTAGCTGCAGGATGCGGCAGAAGTACCTCCCACATGAAAGTGTGCTGAAACTGAACCTTAGTAAGTGGCAATGGTGTCTTCATCTAGCTAATATATTACCTGTATGTGGTCTGTATTTTTGCACTAGGTTAATGTCTTACCTTTATGTGAGAGTTATTTCTGGAAGGTTTAAGTCGGAGGTATTTCTGCCTCACCCTTTATAATAAGATTCAAGAAACCGTCAACGAGAATCGATCTCTTGACTGTGAATCTATTTTATCCTAGTTTGCCTGTTCTCGTGCCATTCCTTTTAAGACGCCGCTAGCAAATGCGCGGCTTTTTAACTATTTCGCCTCACATATACCTGAATTGTTTGGGGTGTTTTAACTTTATCAACTCCTCGAATTCTAACTATCACAACAATAGCTTGGAAACACAGTTCTTTCGTTGGTTGAAAAATAACCTTTCCAAGAATTTCATTTAATATAATGAAACTTTCCCTCTAGCAGACGTCCAAAATGGCACCCTACTTGGCATGTCTTCAGTTGACCCGGGAAGAAGCGTCACCTCGTCAAGACAGGGCTTCTCAACTGATGTCAAAGAGGTGAACATCGTAACACCAACGCCCTTTGTTTCATTTTCACTCAATTACAGGAAAGGCAACACAAACGAAGCGGCAATTTCAAAGTAGGGGAAGAGTTAAAAGTTGACTCAGTTGTCAGTTAATCGTATATTAATCTCCGCTAATGGAGTTTAATATTTACAACGGTATCACGGTACAGGTGTAAAATAATTCTTTAGATTATTAGGAGATTTTCTCTCGTCTGTCTCCGTTTAAATCTTCAAGATTCAGTGTTGTTATTCTAGAACAACGTTTATTATGTTGATAGCAACGTTTTCCAGCTGTTTTTGACAAAATGTTTTAAATAATCCGAACTCATAGCATCCTTATCCAGTAGTCATATACTGTCTCGGCCTTTGGGCACCTCGAGGCGATGTTATGGTTAGCAAGCTTGTCTCGCTAGAACAATTACGACTGTGTAGTGAGTTCGATCCTCACTGGGTGCCCCCTACTTTCGACCTTGTGCCACATCTAAGCTACGCTTGGAAAGTCGCTATATGTCTCTGCCTTTATATGAACTAATTACAATCTTCGGTTAAATTGTGTTATTCATCCTATTTTGACTTTTTATGTATATTAACTCATGGATCATGCTTTAGTCATCAGATTATTATTCCTATCATTTTATCATCTAACTTTCAGTTCAATTTTATAGGCACTAGATTTTGTATAAAATTATAATTCATACATTTTTTTTGTTTTTATTTTTAGAAATCTATAATGAATACCGGATGTTTATTTTATTTTTTATAATTAGTAACAGATTTTAAGTTGGGTATAAATGGATTCATGCATCTAGCAACATTACAGGTTACAAAGGTAGCTAATTTTCTAGAAAATACGATGCATACTTTCGACCACAAAAACACAATCGACCCCAGTTGAACCGGCCCCAGGGATATTCGAATATATAAAGAGACTCTTCTGTCTTGAGGGAGTATTTATCGACCAGTTTTAGCAGACTGCTTTTATACTTAGATACTGGATATCTTAGGCTTCATTGTTGGATGTGTTAGCGAAGAATGAAAGGCGTAGAAAATTCAGAACAACCTTCCAACGTGCCTCAAACCAAATCAATTCTCGTCTTTGCTCGGAGAAATATGAGGTTTTTGTTTTTGTTTTTTTAGCTTGCTGAATTCCCTAGTAACTTGCAAAAAGTTCGCTCCTTACTCACGGCTCAGTATATATGAGCCTAAGGCAAATTTTGCTTCATTCAATAGATATCAAACGGAAGCACACACAAGTCAGCAAAAGGTATTCAGCAAAACTACAGCGGCTTTACTAAACACAGTAAAGTTCAGTTCTAAAGAACAATTACACTTCTTTATTATTGTAAAGACAGATAGTTGCACACACGTATGTACACGCATACACACATATATATTTTTAACATATATATATATATATATATATATATATATATATATATATATATATATATATATCCAAGTATAGGATTAGTGTATACGGAATAAATTCCAATAACCAACAATTACTATTCTTAAAAAAGTGCTCAGTACAAAGTAGAGCGAATATAATTATTTATTTAAAGCTTATAACTTAAATATGTTATAAAATCACTACAAAAATAGCCATTTCGTTTCAACACCTCAGGTGTCTTATCAAGTGATGATGTTGAATGTAGAATAAAGGGTTTTTAAAAGGTTCAAATTAATTAACCACCCCTCGTAAGGGGACACGCTGTTATATAAGCTGGAATGACCAATCAAAATACAAGTATAGGAGAGTTCAAAAAACTTGACAACGAAGTAAGTTTATAATAACTATTAAATGCTTTAAATGTGGAGGTTATACTAAAATAGAATTTATTCTAACTAATAAATATTAAATTATACGATAAAATTTGAAATTAAAACTAAAAACTACCCATTTTAAAATCTAAATTTAATTAAGTTTAAAATTATAAAATTACTGAGGAAAAAAGAAAAAATACGTTGGAATAAAAGTTAAGATCGACTGCTCTTAACTTCATGACAATATGGATACAAGTGTAGGCTGGGGATAATGACATCTTGCGAAAGACAATACATACACAATCAGATTATAATACATAAGCACGCAGACATATTTAGATATATACACACAAAAAAGTGACGAGACAGGAAATATATATATATATATATATATATATATATATATATATATATATATATAAAAATTATTATAGTTTTAAGGTATGTTATATTTATGGGTAAAAGTGCTCAGTATAAGAGATAGATCTTAAGTAAATATAAAATATGAAAGTTGACACTGGGGTCAACACTGAGCGACGAAATATTTTTAATGCCTGATGGAATGATTGAAGTTTACATTCAAGAATGAAGCAGACTGTCGCCGCTCAGTGTTGACGAAACTGTCCAATTTTATTTATATTTACACACGATCTATTTACCCACAAACATACCATATCTTAAATGTATATTTTATCATATATATATTTATATATATATATATATATATATATATATATATATATAATCACTGTACGCATTATTTTAGGGGATGCTCGTATTTCAGTAGTCACTTAGATTATTTATTAAACGGTCTCGAACATTCAGACGAAAATAAATAAATATACTGTTTAATAAACGGAGCGTCTACTCAGAATACGAGGATCAACTAAAATTAAAAATCTGTCGGATCAATAATAAAACATCCATTCTCATATATATATATATATATATATATATATATATATATATATATATATATATATATATATGAGAATTCCTTTGTGCCTCCATGAGAAACTGCACATTATTAAGTTTCTAAATAATAAAAATCTATTAAACAATAGACATAAGTTAACGGTTTTTTGCCGACATAATCAAATCTTTGCATTGAATAATTAGCTTAAAAACAAACATACAATAAAATAATTTTTATAATCCATAGCCCTAATAAATAGTTTAAATACCATACAAAAAAAAAAAAAAAAAAAGGATAACCCTTTATAAAGTCGTCAAAAAACAAATGTTACGGCAGTTTTAATATACACAAAACCCTTTCATAAAGAAATAAAATAAAAAAAATAAATAAATCCCCATAGACACGTAAACCAGACTAGGCGAAAACATCTTCCGTTTTAAATTTAGACACCCCCACCTTACTCTGACTTGACATCTATGAATGTAACTGTATACTGATACAAATTATTAACACGCAACACCCCTACCAACTTAAATAATCGCCCTGGCTGTTACCATGGAAATTTTGATTTCAATTATGAATATGCTATTA